CCCCCCCCCGACCCCCAAGTTCAGTATTCCCTAAACCACCTATGTTCACAACCTTGTTAGCCACTCACCTACTTCAATACACGTTTAACAACATCTGCCGAGATTTTTTAACCTTTTCCTAATTCAAAAGTGAACAATGAAAGTGAAAATGTATATCCCAGTCTTGGAATAAAAATGTTCAATAGGAAAAAACATAATAATTATATTTCATTTAATTAATCTAAGATTTGACATATTATTTGTTAAAATCCACAGAAGAAGAGGTAGTATTTCAAATTGATAATGACCCTTTTAAACATCAAATTTATAGCTTCTAGATTGCCCATATTGTTGGGCAAGATTTCACCCGCCAACGAAAGGTAATTGAACCCTATTTAATTCGATGAGAAATAAAACGAAAATTGCATTAAATCATTATTAGTGCACTATCCACCGTTCTTTATATACGGTCATTTAAACAATGCCTTGCAGTAATCAATAGTTGCTCTAAAATAAATCGTTACTGAATTAAGTACTAAGTCGTAAAAGCGATATATCTTCCAAATGAAGATTTATATCAGGGCTCTGGCTTGATTATAATTTAGGAGAAACCTTTAATAAGCAGAAGACGTATACCAGTTGACAGACACAGTTTTCTAAGAAATTGATTGAGAATTCAAGCCAAATGTACGACTAGTCTGAATAGTTAAAAACAGGAGAATGTTCTGCAAAGAAATTACCTTGTTAGGGAACTTGATCTCCATCCTATTCTTTATTAACTAGACAATTCTTGTCATTCTTGTTCCCTAGTGTGCATCGGATCCGTGGCCTAACAACTTTTCGTTGCACCCCAAATTACCTGAATTATGATTGTTAAGAGGTAAATTTAGGGTCACAAACAATATGGAGGAGAGAAACAAATGTATTTTGAAAAAGTAATACCAAAGCCAATGCTCGCCAATCCTTCAATAGGCATAATTTCCGGTGCTAGAGATATAGAGACGAGCCAACGAACCTAATTTGATGGAATTCCCCCCCCCGGGGATGGAACTTTTTAAGTAGACTCGAGACCAGTGAGATAGGCTGCCTCTTTTTAAGGCATTTCGGTCTCTTTTTTTGGCTGACTGACATCTGTTGTACACTGATTATCTACTCGCATCTTCCAAACTACTTCAGTCTTTTCGCCTAACTTTTAAACAGACTTGAGGCAAAATGTGACGACATCTGTCTACCAGATGCGCGGATTTTTTCAACACTGTATTTCCAATGGGTATAGACAAGTGTATGAAAATACTTTTTGTATTACTTGCATTTGATGTCTAAATGAGGTTGTCAAAAATCGCATTTATTGTCTGTTAAATTAGAGCGGAGAACCTTTGATAAAATTGACTACTACTTCTGCTATTTTAATCTGTTCAGGTTTCAACTTTCTTCCACCACCACCCCCCCCCCCCCCCCCCCCCCCCCCACACCCCCCACTATGGGTACTTTAAGTCCCCCCTCAGGAGAATTGGTGAAATGTCAAAGTGGTGCGAACTGCAAATCGAATTCCAGAATTACCTCAACATTTCATGATCTAAACCGCCAAATTGCGTATTCTTTAACATTAATATTTCACTCTCTACATTATTATTATTATAGGAGCATAAAATGATAAGTTACGTGGATTAGGTTATCTTAAGTAAATTAATAATAAACACGAACACCAAAGCCAATCAAGAGGCTTAACTAATCTTCGTCAAATTAGACTTAGTGACCTTATTATAAAAACAGGTGGTGACGAAAGTCTTAAAGTCTCAGGAGCTACGAATTTCATTATTATATATTAAACAAGCAATAAGATGACAAGTCCTATGAATGTACAGGATTTTTCAGTCAAATTTTGTAAATGTTATCGCAGCGTTTGTTATAGTTATGCTATTGCACTGAATCTTCGTCCGAAATACTCTTCCATCTAGGAAGTTGTCGCGAATCCGACATGATAGTTGGCTGTTTCACATAGATTAGCGTCTCCTACGCAGGATGTCTAGAAAATTGACGAAGTATGTCAAATATGAATGACTTTTTTCCATGTAGTATTTCTAGAGGCACTCTGAACTTACGCGATTTTCAAAGTTGTTCCAGGGAATAAGGTTGGTGCACTGGGTTTGGTCCATGACGCCCTCATGATTATATCTAAATGAAATGAAATTTGATTAATTAATAAAAAATTTCTCGAATCTGAATATTCCTAAAATAGTATTCTCACCCACTCGAACTCCTCATTAAGGTGTCCGTATTTCCCGAAAGCATCGAATGTTGCTGATATGCTGCCATCTGGTTTAATGACTGGCTTTTGTCATTACTCAAGCCAATATGCGGGAACCATGCTGGCTGAGTCATTCTAGGGTCTGTTTTGAGGGCTAACTTTGATATAAGATCACTTCCACTACACTCGATTCCTTCCTCTTCTTTATGCTGTAGATAACCAGAGAAAGTAGGTAACCCTTGAAGATGACTGTCGCTAGTGCTTGGCTGTTGATGAGAAAGATATGATTGTTGGTCTTGTAGGGAAGTGTTATAGATGAGGGGGCTGCGGATTACTCTCACGGCTCCGTCGTAGGATTCATGATCTTGATGCTGAGGAAGTGTACTCGGGGTACTGTATTCACTACATTGACTCTGTCCGCTTGCCGCTGCCACAACTGCAGCAGCTGCGACGGCAGCAGAATATGCCTCATAGGCGGAACTGTAGTCATTGTTGCTATATGGCAACGCATAAGCAAAGCCATTTACCTGTGTATGATCCCCACTCTGCATTCCACAATATGCGTCCTCTTCATTCTTGGCTCTATCAAAGTCCCAACCCTGATAGCTGTATGGATTTCTTGTTGAACTGCCGCCATATCCATACATAGCATAATTCTGCATATAATCATCAGTTTTTGTTGCAGTGGGACTGAGGAAATTTCTACCAAATAGGCTACGATAGTTATACCAGCTAGATGAGGTTGAACCAGCTTCTAAATTCGGATATAAGCTGGTAGTTGACCGTGTCACTGATTTTGGCGTTGAAGAAGGAGCTCTGAATGGAGTCTTTCTTCTTCGAGTTGTCTGGAGATAGTTCTTTAGTTGTCCTTTGAATTTCTTATTTCCAGAAGGTTTGACTTCACTTGTACTACCTGATTCTTGACTGTTACTCTCATAAGAATTCCACAGTTTTCTTGAAGTACCATCTTTTTCTGAGTCAATTTGAGGAGAAACTTTCACTTGCACATCATTTGAGTCTTCTGTGAAAGACTTAACTTCGGGAATTGAAGAACCTTCTCTAACTGAGAGTTCGTTTCCATTGACTTCGTTTGAATCGTCTTCAGACATTAGGGTCTCGGGTTCAAGAAGAGGGAAGGGAAGTTTGTATTCAGAATTCCTCCGATAATATAGTTCATTACCTTCGGTATCACTATAGGAACAAAAGCAGAGTTTGAAGTATTAGATAGGCTCCTACTAACTATTGGCAGATTTGAATTTGACCTACTCTAATTTTCGATGAATTGCTATGATATGATCGGCTTTATTATCTTTATAGACGATTCTGAGACGCGATTGGAGCCAAATCCATGACCCCGTGTTTGACAGCCAGCGATGTGAAAGAAGACCAATTGAGGCTTGCTTTAGTACTATAAAGAATTCGTATTCGTGCATTAAGTAAGTCAAAATGGAATAAAATAGAAGTTCTTGATTAACCTACCTTCCCGGTGTCCTTGAGCTACATAACTAAGATCTTCCGGGTGAATCAGGTCATAAATCTTAACACGACCATCCTCTTTGCCATTGTACCCAAACATTGAGCGTGCTCTAAAAAAAGACAAGTACAAAGTATAATATTTGAAAGAGGGGCTACTTAAAATGCAAGTAAATGGTTGAAGACATACCGACTGTCCATGCTTGTGAAAGTGAGGTCCATTTTATGCTTTGTTTTAAAAGATGTCTCACGTTGGGAACCATCTAGACTTGGGAGGGAGCCAAGGGGGCTACAAACGCCGAAAAGTCCAAAAGAGGAAGGAGGAATTGTGTTGACAGGTAATGAGGACGCTGAAATTCCGTGGCCTTCAGCTGTCATCTCTTGTCTCCCCTGTCTGGGGTTGGCATCGCTTCCACCACCACCGCGGGTAGGTGAGGTAGTTAACTGAAAATTCCTGGCGTGGCCATGGAGAAATTGCAGCCGACCGCTTATTTCTAGTGTCTTAAAAATAGTTGTTTCATATTACTACACACTGTCATTCAAAGTACTGAACTTTCAATATATTATATTTTCGAAAATTGCTTACAATGAATCCGGATGTATTATCCAGAAGACAGCGGAAGCGAACGGTGAAGCATCTCTGAAGAAGATGACTATAGGCTAGGGTTAAAAATAAAATTAAAAAATATTGAAAATATGAATACATACAAGCTTATTTAGATTATTTGTCACCCTTGAAAGCAGTTGAATAGAGGAATATTAACTTCGAGAAAAAAACTTTATTGTTCATTTCCAAAATTAAATATATAGTGAAGGCTGAGATATTTGAATGATAAAGACATTTAAGGTTTCTGGAAATAAAGTTTGGCAAGTATAATAGTTGCTACGTTCCCAATTCACCAATCACTGTCTCAAATGAGTGAACCCTAGCATCATAAACATACACATTATCGTCACGTCACTGATGAACAATAGGCCAAATTAATTAGAAACGAATAATTTAATCAAAAAGGTACAAAATACAATAAATTTCAAGTATTAGGCGAACAAGGCGCTAAAATGAAGACGGAATCTAAACAATTCTAACAAAACTCAATATTTAACTTAGTTTATAAAGGTTTCGTGGATGGATCGTCTAACCTCTCAGAAGTACGCCATATAACTTTGCCCATTGGTAGCTTTTTCCATTATACTCGGCCAAACTGCCTTAGTTCCTGTCATAAAGTTCCTTCATGCACTCTCAAAGCGTGGGGGGGGGGGGGNCCCCCCCCCCCCCCCGCCCCACCTTCCCCTACTTAGTCTCTCTAAGTGGACGCGCAAAGGCGTTCGCGCCTAGGTTATTTTTTTTGCGTTGTTGAGTGTCCATTAGAGTGCCAAGTTAAAATACCTCTTTACCTCCCCTCCACTCCCCTACACACGGGCCTAAAAGCTGCTGTTTTGTGAGGCCTAAATGCTATCAGGTGATGAATCAGTGGCTGATAAGGTGGAAGGGGGTGGGGTGGGGTGGGGGGTGGGGGTTGGAGAGATTTAATTGACGATAGCAAATGGCTCCTTAAAGCAGAAGGAATACATTAATACAAGAAACTAAGCGCCCTCAGTAGAATGAACGCCATTCAAAATATTTCCCTTTACTCTGTTCCTTATTAGCCTGTTCTTCGTGAACTCTAAACAATAAAAATTAACTCTGTTGAAAAGCTATAAGCCTAATTTGTGCTTAGGAGTTTCGCTTAATAGCATTACAATTCCAATCAGTGTATTCCTGATCTTGAGCATGTGTCAATTGCCTTTGTAAGTTCACCCTTACTACATAGGTGGTCTGAAGAAAAACCATAATCGAGTAATGAGAGATGGGAGAAATGTTAATTACCTGGTGAAAGAACTTCTTGGAGAGTGAGATTTCGGTGCTCAGGGGGTAGCATTGCTTGCCAGGAAAGTTGTCGATGAAATTCATCTCGGTCTTCAGAATGTATTAACTCCATGACACTTTGATGTAGGATATCAGACTAGAAGTGGCAAGAAACATGTTACTTTAAACCGGGCCAAGATATTGAAAGTGGGTGGGGCGGGGGTGATTAGTTTAAGACATTTTATTGTTCGGTTTCATTAGGCACGTCTAATTCGGCCTGACAGACTTTGACCAGAAACTATTTTTGCAGGTGCGTCCTGGAAGAGCTCTCCCCTTACCATAAAATTAGCCTTACTTTCCCTCCCGTTTTAAAGACAGCAAGTACTTGTGGCTCCCCGGTTTATACTCTTCATTAATTACTACAATGTCCCCCCCCCTCCACCCCCTCCTTCAACAAACGTCATATTTGAGTACACAAGTATAGGGCGGGGGGGGGGGGGGGGGAGGGGATGGTGGTCTTGATGAAATGTGGGTTGGCATAGAACGCTGCTCGACATTGCCAACTAAATTGTAAGCTCTGAAAATAGTGCACATAAAAAATAACTCAGGGCTCAAATCTTGACGTTTTTAAAAAATAGGGGAGGGGGGGGGGAATTAAGACATGTCGGGATGATTCTCTTTCAGTGTATCATGACTCAATGTCCAAACTCTGTTCTGTAAGGGTGCTTTCCACAGTTGAAGATTGCATTTCACTTTCATGGTCACCGATAACACTACTATTCGAGGCAGGATATTTAGATTAATTTCAATCACAGGACAGTTCATATTTGCGCACTAGCTTTGTAGAACTAATTTGGGCGTTGGGGGTTTAATAGACTTCCAAATAAAATATTGCGTGACAATTTTGATTTAGCCCGATAATTCCCCACAACTTTGCACGCAATTTGGTAGTAAATTAAGTAAAGTACTCCAAAACGTTGAGCTACTACATTTTTTTGTATTTAATAAATAAATCATACTTGTTACTAGTAAAATAAATAATTGTCTTGGATATCATGCCCAAAACTTATTAGACTCAGTTTAGTAAAAAGTTTTGAAATTTGATATAAAAAATTCATTCCCTATTCCCTTCTTGTTACCTCCGAGGCATCTCAATTTAATTTTTTTATTTTCTTTTATCCCGAAAAAGCTATACTTTTCGAAGTGCAGTAGTTTTACATTAACAATCATAAATTACATTCATGACAGGACTCATACATGCCCTCCCCGAAAACACGTGGACTTTGTAAACCGAATGAGTGTTCTTCCCAAGATTTTGTCATATTTCGTGTGAGAAGATTCGCATTGTAGAACCGTGGTATTAACCGACAGAGGGATACCATGTCATTATCATCTTAACCGAGACTCCAGACAACATGTGGTCACATTGGGGAAGAGCGGAGTGAGTTTGACCCACTTTCCTATCATGAGGATCGCAAATTACCGTGAGAGATAGGGGGGGGG